TGGTTGACATATGTCATCGTAACCAAACTGTGCTGATCGATGCCAATCACTGGATTGTCTTGTTTAGACTCGACTATTTGCAGACTGTCGTTACATAGCACTAAGCTTTCTTTGACATACTAAAGCATACCTACACACCATTTCTGTTAATACTCTTTCGAATGGTGCATTGCGGCGAACCCTACCTGAATTTGTTTATAATATTCCTCCATTAGTATGCTGTTTAGCGTCTTTCGGTCTATTGTCCAAGTTTAAGTTTTGGATGTTTCTGATTTAAGATCATTAGTTCACAATAAACGGTAAAGTACCAATATTTTGTTCTATCAATTACACCACAAGGTTGAATTTACTTCAGCTGTTTTTTCGAAACTATAACGCTTACAGTGTTACTTTAAAGGAGGGGCGATGCCTTAGCCTGGTGGTTAAAGCATTGGCTCGTACACCGAAGATCCGGGTTCGAGTCACCACATGGGTAATATATGTGAAGCCAATTTCTGGTGTCCCCGCCGTGATGTTGCTAAAATCGGCGTAAAACTAAATTTACTCACTCGCTATTAATGCTCTATATGTACGTCCTTTTCCATAGACAACACGTATGATACACGTGTCTTGGTTTGTTTCCTTGGTATTATCGTTTAGTGATTTGAAAAATTAATTTAATTAAAATCGTGTTTTGGAGGAGGAAATGTTCTGAAAATTTCATCTACTTATTGCAGCTATCTGGAAGCCTCATGGCAGCATCGCTGGTTGAGATTCTTGTCGGCGCAACAGGTGTTGTTGGCGTCATGCTTCGTTTCATAGGACCTGTGACCGTGGCGCCTACAATATCTCTGGTTGGGTTTTCTTTGTACAAAATCCCAATACTGTATTCAAGATCTTCGTGGGAAATTGCTCTTATGTGAGTAAAAGTGTATGTTCGTCACGTTATGAAGTCAATATTAGCACAAGCAACATTCACATCCTTCTGTGAACGATCGAAATCGTACAATGGATTCTGAAGTTATGATTACTCTGTGTTTATGGCAAGATGTTTGTAGCATTGATCCTAAGCATGAGTGTTAGAGCAATCGTTATCAGTTGTGTCAGATATAGAAACAAGGTCAAATGGGTTCCAGTTACAGGTTAACGCCATGTCACCAAATGTTCAGCTATTCGGACGCACGTAATTCAAGTTATTAGAAAAGAAAATTATAAGGCTGTCCGTAGTTTTTCTGTTTCCCATTTCCCATCCGCCCTGAAGTTTCATTTCGACCTGAAATAATACAAAGTGTTCTTATCTTAATTATTTCGGCTGTTGTGGAAATTATTATCGTGTAATGTTAAGACTGTTACCAAATGATGTAGATTATAGACCTTCATAAAATAACTTGACAAGATATATTTTCACTTAACCAACAGAAGCATGTTGGCAAAGAAAAATGTTTCATGTTGTTGACCAAAATATTTACCAAATGCCATATGTTAGAAACAATCAGTTTATTCTGTCAAGACCAAAATTATTCCACGGATATTGCACAGTTACATCCGTCTCCATCCCTGTGTGACAATAATTATTCTTCATTTATGATTAATGTATATCCTTGTATGCTACAGAGGTGCTGGGACTGTCATAGTGTTTTCCCTTTACCTTGAAAACGTACAAATACCACTTCCTTCATGTGGAAGAACAAGCGACGAACGGAAGAGGAGTCGAGTTAGACTTTTCGGCTTATTTCCGGTATGTCAAAAGTCATTCTCCAAGTTTAACCGCACACATCCTTTTGTTCTCATGCTGCAAGCTCCACTTGAAAGGTATTTTTGACATAACAAAGGATGCACTCTCTTTTGGGGGCATTTGAAATTCTCCCTAACCGTTGGACTTTATGATTTATGTGCACCCCTTCTCCCAAATCCTGGATCCGCCCCTGCTTCTATAATCTAACAACCATGAACTCGAAACACGGCACTGTCAGGCTTTGATCGTATCCGGCGAGGATCTATGGTTCAAGCCCATGAGGCCTGCACTGCCACAGGGGCGGTGGGGTAGCCTAGTGGTTAAAGCGTTCGCTCGTCACGCCGAAGACCCGGGTTCGATTCCCTACATGGATACAATTTGTGGAGCCCATTTCTGGTGTCCCCCGCCGTGATATTGCTGGAATATTGCTAAAAGCGGCGTAAAACCCAACTCACTGCACTGCCACAACTCTGCAGAGCGAATATCGACTTCTTTGACCACAGGACCACTCAGCTGAAGGAGGACGGGAATTTTCTTCATACGTTTCTTTTTATGTTCGTATGTACCTATATGGGTCGTGTGGTAGCCCACTGGTTAAAGCTTCGCTCGTCACGCCGAACACCCGGGTTAGTTTCCCCACATGGGGACAATGATCTCCCTGATCTCAATGGTCACCTGCCCATCTCTGGTGTCTCGCGCTCTGTGACATTGCTTGAGGATTGCTGAAAGATTCGTGAAATCATACCTACTCCCTGTATGTACGCGTATGTTCACCATTGGAATTCCGCCGTGTGCATTATGTGTCATAATTTGATGTATGTATTATTTAAAGTACGCGCACAAATATGCATTTACGGCCTGTGCTTACAAAACGTTTGGCTATTGCCCTACGTTTGTTTTAGATCCTGCTAAGCATCATGTTGATGTGGACGATCTGTGCGCTCCTCACCATCACCGACGTCTTCCCCGACGATCCTAGCAACCTTCGTTATATGGCGAGGACAGATGCGAAATCGTCACTTATACACCTTACTCCTTGGCTGATTTTCCCATACCCAGGTACTCGGATATATTCTCAAAGGCAAACGTTATTGTTACATACAAACAACAAATAGAATCGGTGTTAAACTTGTACTGCCATGAATGAAATGTCATTACATGGAAAGACGGATGTTTAAAGGTATGGTAACGATCAACAGACCATACGAACAGCACCCTGGCAACATGCAAATAGGCAACAACACAATTTGGAATTCAGAAGCAAAATTACACGACCCGTAGCGAGCGCGTTCACCTTGTGCAGTATTGCAGGCCTGGCACATTCGCGTGACTGACGTCGATAAAAGTGCTGGGTAAGATCATTCCATATCCGAGAATGGATTTAGCGGAGATGATGCAGCGTTGTTTGAGGATTCTCATAACGTCGCAAACGTCGTCCTAGGCGTATTCAATTGGTGACAAATCAGGGAATCGTGCGGGCCAAGGTAACACAACTTGAGCAACGTGTTGTCTGTGTTGTCATGTTGAAACGTCACTTTGTTCTGTTGCGAAAAATGGTAAAGTGGTCATTTGCTAAATCTCGCCGCATTCTAGTTCCCCTCAATCACAATCATTGACGTCCTTGATGCAGCTGTTATTCCACCCCAGATTATAACGCCCCCACACCCAAAACGATACCTTTCCACAACACAACGGGGACGGTCTGTAACTTTATTGCTTTGCTAAAAACGCCGCCATAAGTGCCAAATGGTGTTTGTATGGACGTTGAATCGACGAGCAAAGTCCCCTTCGAGGTAGCAGGCTGAATCATACATATAGCAGTCATTTTCCTCTTGAGGGGTTCCAGAAGATGAGTAGAGGTGTTCTTCTGACTTCTGCATTTCTAAAGACTGCGTTGCGTGGAAATGATAGTGAAGATCCGGATCATTAACCAATGCTTGTCGTAAGAGGCGACTAACGGGAACGAGTTGACACATGTCATCGTTTCCCAAATGCTAGATCGATGCTCATACTGTTGATGACTGGATTGTCTGGTCCAGACCAGATTATTTCCAGACCGCCGGAATATAGTTGGAATACTGCTGAGTCCGGCGTTAAACAAAAAACAACCAAACAGATGTGAAATGGATAAACTATAATAGTGAGTTCATTGATATGACGCCTCTGTAAACATTTGATATCACTATTTAACACTACAGTTATGTGTGGACATGAAAATAGCATGTGGTCTATAGTACTGTACTAGCAAAAGGCAAGACGTTGGGCTATTTGTTTTTCAGGACAGTTTGGAATGCCAGGATTCAGCTTTCCTGTATTTGTCGGGTTCAGTACAGCCTTCTTTTCATCGTTTATCGAGTCTGTGGGGGACTATTTTGCTGGGAGCGAAGGCATGTGAAGTCGATACTCCACCGAATCACGCGGTGAACAGAGGGATTCTCATGGAAGGGTTAGGCGGACTCCTTTCTGGTGCTGTCGGTATCGGCCATGCTACAACCTCATATAGTGGCAACATTGCAACGATCTCTGTTACGAAGGTAAATGTTCGTTATAAGCGTAAGATTATTCCTGTCCTAATATGACAGTTTGTCTTTAAGAAAACCATATACATGCAAACCAAATGCACAACATGTTTTGCTGTTGCAAAATGGTCAGCTACAGTTGAGATTGTCCGTGCCAGTCTCGATTATTTAAAAGAACCGCAGTTCGAGTTTAAATACGTCCTCGGCAGCCCTTGCGTGTTGAAAGCGCGACTCACGAGATCGAGTACATCAAGTTGCTGGAATATGTAGGGTTTTCAGTTCTGATGGAGGTATATTTTGGTCCCTGATATTTGGGTGTTTTCCTTCGTAACGTGATATATATAAGGTCCAATAAGAAACTGTGATTATCAACAAAGAATTTTATGAATGGCATTTTAGAAGTCCCCCGCCGTGATATTGCTGGACTATTGCTACAAGCGGCGTAAAGCTAAACTCACTGACTCACTAGAAGTTGGGAAGTACACTATTGACAAACTTTAAGGATAACAACTTCCTCATTTCGTGAGTGCGACATTTCGATACAGATTCTTGTATCTGCTTGACAGCGGTACAAAACTCTGTATTGAAACGTTGCACTCACGAAATTAAGTTGTTATCTATAAAGTGAGTCAATATCAACACAAACGTTTGAATTTGATTTTGAATGAACAGGTTTGCAATTCCCACGAACAATAATCGATGTGTTGCCCAATGCATTCATGGAAAACTGTTTATCTTGAGTTCCAAATCTTTCTTGCAGACGGGGAGCAGATCCGTGATGGTATGTGCTGGATTGATACTCATCATCTTTGCCTTCCTGGGAAAGTTAGGTGCTGCTTTCGCATCTGTACCCGATCCAGTTCTAGGAGGTGTCATCATCATCATCTGTGGCCTGCTCGTCTCAATAGGATTTTCCACTTTACGTTATGTTAATTTGGGCTCGTCCAGAAACCTGACAATTCTGGGGTTGTCATTCTTTGTCGGTGTTTTCCTGCCAGAATGGATAGGCAGGCACCCTGATGTTATAAATACAGGTAACAGTGCATTTACATGCAATTACTTCTATTCATCTCGGGAAAAGGGGCGGTGGGGTAACCTAAAGGTTCAAGTGTTCGATCGTCACGCCGAAGACCCGGGTTCGATTCCCCATAAGGGTTCAATGTGGAGCCCATTTCTGATGTCGCTGCCGTGATATTTGCTGAAATATTGCTAAAAGCGGCGTAAACTTAAAGTCACTTACTCACTCATGGAGGAAATTAGGGATCGTTGAATGATTTATCAAAACGGTTATTTTTCTCTCATTGCTTTCCAATGTATAGCATGTTAAGCATCCAAGTTTAACATTAATTTGAACCCATGTTTTTACTTGACAGAAAGAATGTTTTAGAATATGAATATAGATATGTTTTGGTGTCTGTTTTCATTTCATGTCTGATCACCTGAAGTTCCTGTGTACCTTATTAACATATAATAAGAAAATATCTATGTACATTGTATTCATGGAGTTATCTTTCAGGAAACACAGAGGCAGATGCGGTTCTCAAAGTTACTCTAGGAACACACATGTTCGTTGGTGGTATGGTCGCGATGATTCTTGACAATATTGTGAAAGGTAATCACATTTTTAGATACTATTGTTCTTTGTAAAATATTATATCATATTGATAATAAATACAACATTGAAATATGTTATGACTTCCACAGTAAATCAGAAACTAATATAAACAAAAAATCTTTCATATTCGTATCTGTGATCCTCTAGTTGGTTTCACTGTCCTTCGCTGACAGGATTTTTAAAATTTACCTTTATTTAATCTAATATTTCTACTTGTTTTTAGTCACGATATGGCTGAAATATTGCCCATGTGACTATAACTCTTAACTCACCCACTCACTCTGACAGTTGCCAGTAGCTACGGAAAACTGAAAATCCGGCTTCGGAACCATGTACAGTAAGTCCACATCGTCCCCTGTACTGTGTCCTTAACTATGTTGTTGGTGATCTCTAGCCTCATTTGTATGTCCGACAGCATTAATGTTCTCAGTCTGTGATACATTACCATTTTTATCATGTCCTTCCAATGACAGTTTCAAAAAGTTATCATACAAGTGTATAACTTGCAACTGATCAAGTCATAATATGGTTGTAATACTGCAGACGTGAGTATGACTCACGCGAGGCAAGAGCAGCATAAATGGTGTCACAGGGAAGGCTACTTTTTCACTAATCTTGAAATGATTTCAAAATGCGCTCACATAAGCGTTTTGACAAATCTGGAAAAATACATTAATAGTTATTGGAAAATTTCTATTGAAAGAAAACATTCATAATCATAAGATCACAATGATTTTAGGGAATATCTTATGTTTTTCTTGATTTGCGTGTTCTTTCTCCTTTGCAGTTCTGAGTATACTTAATTGAACATTGTAAAATGTAATTCCAGGCACACTTGAAGACAGAGGAATTGCAATGTGGCGAAAGCGTCATGAAAATGACTCTTGTCCTCAAAAAGAGAACGAATACTCAAGCTTGACTCCTTCCTCAGTTGCATATGGGTGGTACTGTGTACCACGTCTGTACAAGAAGATAAAAATCATCTCATATCTTCCCTTCATGCCACCAAGACCGAGAAGGGGACCCAGTGAATCAACATCTGCTCTCGACTAAGACATCCTGTTGTTGTGCATTCACATCCTCGATAATCCCCAGGGTATACGTTCCGATAAATCTCCACTAGTACCCTGGATGTATCCACGACTCGGCCCGATAATTGTATTACCTCCCTTTGCTGGGGTTTTATCCAATCAGGTGTCTACGCTGGTAAGGCGTCTGCATGATTTTAGTCCCCCAATTTGAGTCGCACAGCGAGCAAACCTTCGCGGCTGCTGTCCCGATCTTAGTTGACACTGCCAAGCTCGGTTGTAACGGCTTATCTTAATGGCTACTGTGAGAAGGCGGAGCCAGCAAAAGGGAGGTAATACAATTATCGGGCCGAGCCGTAGATGCATCCAGGGTATACCCTGGAGATTATGGAGGATGTGCATTCATGGCTTCAATTAAATTTTTCCAAGGCATTTAGAAGTTGGTGTTGTAATACAAGACAAATCTTATGGATAACAACCTGATGATTGTCCACCTGACGAAGGGACACGAAACGTCGTGGTAAACAAAATTTAGAAGTTGCTCTCCATAAGATTTGTCTTGCATGGCTTCAATGTTCTGTGTATTGGTTACATACGGGTAACTGTCAATAAAAGCAGCTAAAACTGGGATCTGTCAGGCACGTAAATGATGCTGCACACACACACACACACACACACACACGTGTGTGTTTATATATATATATATATTTCTGCAGGTGTAAAAGCAATAAATATACTAAAATATGAGTCCAAATATTTCTTCTTGCCAATCTCCAATGAAAGCTAAGTACAATTATCTTTCATTGTGCACCTGAAGAGCCGTTGAACGGCGAAAGAGAGATTTGGCAAGTGGGAATATATGCACATACACACACTAACACACTAACACTAACACTACCTTAGTTGGTGGTTTCTACCTCTTCACTGTAATATGTTTTAGTTCATGTTCTCTAAAAGTATCCATGTCTGAATGTCTTCTTGTTCTGCTTTGATAAATGGTATTTGCGTGGAGTACTAGACGACTTCATCATTCAGATACAGGCCAGTATGTTTTTTTGTTCTTTGTAGTTAGTGAGGGTTTGTGAAGATCCGGGTTAGAACTGGTCTTCAGCATCTCATGTTTGTCGTAAGAGGCGGCTAACGGGATGGTCAGGCTCAATGGCTTGGTTGACTCATGTTATCGTATCCCAATCGATCTTTGGATTGTCTTGGATTGTCTGGTCCAGATTTTTACAGACCGCCGTCATATAGCTGGACTATTCCTAACAATAGGCGTTAAACAACAATTAACCCTGATTTGAACAGTTCTTGATATCATGGTATGTCAATTCGACGCGGGACGTAAGTCTAAAGTAACATTTTTAATGAAACCAAAGAGCACGACTGCAATGCTGAGAAACGTACCGAGTGCCTCACCCATAATCAAAGCATGCTCGATTGTACCCCAAAGGCTGTGAAATGTGAAAACCAAAGGCTGAAGCTGTTGGAATATTACAGAGATAATCCGTGTTAATGGAGTCCAGTGTTAATGAATGAATAGGGGCGGTGGGGTAGCCTAGTGGTTAAAGCGTTCGCTCGTCACGCCGAAGACCCCGGGTTCGAATCCCCACATGGGTACAATGTGTGAAGCCCATTTCTGGTGTCCACCGCCGTGATGTTGCTGGAATATTGCTAAAAGCGGCGTAAAACCAAACTCAGTCAGTAATGAATGAATAAAATTTCCTGTACTGTCATGAGAACGACAGGGCATCATGTTGGGTAGGCGAACAGATACACACACGGGACAAATCGCACACCCTTAACAGTATGCCCATGTTTAGTACACTACTTGCCAAGATGAGCTGCATCTGAACCCAGTGCTCAATCAGGCAGCATACCTCTGCTGTGACTATGAGTCTACTGCAGAAAGGGAGAAAACTCTTGACAAATGTCGTGTCATCAAGCATAGCCAAAAATTCCCAGCCGCCCTTGTGGACATGGAGTCAGATTTAGAGGATAATGCTCCTTCCTTTAAATATGATATGAAGCAGGCACCGGGTTTTAAGAGGTGAGGTGAGGTGAAATTGGGTTTAACGTCGTGCTTGAGAATATTTCGCTCATATGACGACGTGCATGTGTGTATGTGCAGCTGCTTGAACTAGCCCAGACTTAAGCTGGCTTTATAGTGCTAGCCCACTGAGATACCATGCCGCATTGAAGCATGAATACCCCACTCAGACACATTATACTGACCCAGAGCCGACCAGTCCTTGTTGTACCCATTAATGCCGAGCGCCAGGCAGGGACCAACAAGTACCATATTTTAACGTCTTTTGGTATGACGCGGTCGGGGATCGAACCCGCGACCTTCCACTTTCCGGGCGGACGCTCTAACAACTACACCATGGAGGCGGTCAGGTGAGGGTCTCTAAGATGATCAAGACGAGGAACACCTTCAGCTTCTACCCCTAAAGAAATTGTTTTAAAAAAAGCAGCCAATTGCATTAGAGAGGCATCCTTCATGAAGGACTTTAGAACTTTGTCTTCTTTTTAAATACATAAAGGAGCCTTTCGGATCAGGCATATCACTTTCAATGTAGACCGATCATCCGCACCAAGTACACCTTTGTAATTTATATGGTTATGTTAACACTTTTTAGAATTCAATGATTTGTTTGGTAGGTTGGTTGTTCTTTAAAGCCGCATTCAACAATATTCCAGCGATAGATCCAGTGAACAACAGCATGAGTATCGATCTACGCAATTGGGATCAACCAAGTCAGCAAGCCTCACCACCCGATCCCGTTAGTCGCTTCTTATGACAAGCATGGATCTAACCCTATCTTCACGGATCTAGGATTGAAAGCCACCAATGAGTCCAAGACCCGATATTCCACGCATGATTTTCTGATACTGATGACCGACTGCTTAATTAAAAAGTCGCAAAGTCAACCAATGTTTGATGCACTTCAAAAGGTATTTATTCAGCTACCTTCTGCAGACTTGACTGGTTACATGCACAGGTTTCTTGGTTCAAGGTGTGGCAAGCGTTTTGGATCACGATTCAAAACTCAAGGTGAAATGGATAATATTTGCTGTGTGCAATTCTGCAAAAGGAGCACGAATGTATAAGTTGAAAGAATTTTTTAAAATATTTTTGTTGTTGTTGTATAAAGCCGCACTCAGCAATATTCCAGCAGTATCGCGGCGGTCTGTAAATAATCGAGTCTGGACCAGACAACCCAGTGAACAACAATATGAGTATTGATCTACGCATATTTGATATGATGACATGTGTCAACCAAGTCAACGTATCTTCATGGATGTTCCTTACCAAGTTGGAGGAGTCTGGTAAAATACATTCTCTGATATATTCCCGCTATATGGCAGTGGTCTGTAAATAACTTAGCATCAATCTACACAACTGAGATACAATGACATGTGTCAACCAGGTAGGCGAGTCTGACCACCTGATCCCGTTAGTTTCTTTTTATTACAAGCATGGGTTGCTGAAGATCGAACTCGGATCTTCACGGGTCGCTAATGCTAAGAATGCAATGATCCTTACAGAGATAAACCAAGGATGCCATTAGGTATGGGAACCTAGATACATGCTGACCACGATATCTGGCGAACAGGAAGCCGGTTCGCAAACCATCCTCATCAATACCATCAGTTCAGTGAGACTGGGTCTTTAGCAACCCTTGCGTACATGTATCATGAGAGACGACTTATGGGAACGGGTTGTCAGACTCGCTGACAGGGCTGATGCTCATTATCGTATTCCATTGTGTAGGTCGATGCTTATGATGGCGGGATTGTCTGGTACAGATTTGAGTATCTATCAATCGCCGGAATGAACTCGATTACTGCTGAGTTAGGGTCAAACAACCAACATATAGGTCTAAACACACAAAACGTACACACATGCACGCACGCACGCTTTAAAATCAGACCCATTGTCCGGTAGTCGTGACCTACGAATGACAGACGAAGTGATCTTTACATAACAAATTCGCAAGTTTTTGGTTTGTTTTTATTTAATAAAAAAAATAGACAATTAAATTGTCTTTCATCCGTATTAACCCACAAAGTGCTTCCGGATAATTACTTTGTAGCTGTAGAGATATGGATGCTACGTCATCTACCTGTGTCCAAATGCAAAAATATTTTGAAATGTCAGCTGACACCTTCACAACCAGTATAAATAATTAGTGGCAAAAGAAATCCTGGCGGAATTCAGTGTGGTGATTATTACACACGCTAATAGATTAGAATACAAATACAGAGTGAGTGAGTTTAGTTTTACGCCGCTTTTAGCAATATTCCAGCAATATCACGGCGGGGGACACCAGAAATGGGCTTAACACATTGTGACCATGTGGGAAATCGAACCCGGGTTTTCGGCGTGACGCTGACTGGGAGCGAACGCCTTAACCACTAGGCTACCCCACCGCCCCATACAAATACAGAAGTAATTTAATTAGTAAGTAACACATATAGAAGTAATGAAATTATCATAGTCTCCTCAATCGCTTTAGTCGAAATCTATTATTGACTCTTTCCACTATGTCCTTGGAAAGTCAAAGAAGATCCTGTAAAATGTTCCCTGAGAAAGTAAACTAGTATCTTTGTGTAGGTGCGTGTAAGGTCAACATGTGTAACTTAATCAGTATCTTCTGTCAAATCAAGTTCTTCATTCACATCATTGGTGAAAGTATGACATTTAATTAACCTGTAAGTGTTGGATATTCGGGTTAGAATTGGTCTTCAGCGACCCATCCTTGGCGTAAGAGGCAGGTGGTCAGGGCTTGCGTAGATCGATGCTCATGTTGTTGATCACTGGATTGTCCGGTCCAGACTCGATTATTTAAACCGCCTTCATTTAGCCTGGAATATTGCTGCGTACGGCGTTAAACAACAAACAAACAAACAAACTGTTGATCACTGGATTGTCCGGTCCAGACTCGATTATTTAAACCGCCTTCATTTAGCTGGAATATTGCTGCGTACGGCGTTAAACAACAAACAAACAAACAAACAAACAAACAAACACAATCTGTGAGAGTAATTTCTAAACGTCCCTGCGTCCGGTGATGTCTTGTAATGACAGAAGCAATCTTTGGTGAT